TCCCATGTCGACATTGCCCTTTTTACCTTTACTTGCTTTGCCTTTGCCCTTGATGATATCGCTTCGGCCATCTTTTCCGTTTTTATAGTCGCCACTATGCGGTCTTGAAGTGTTTTCCTTCGCAAGTAATTTTAGGGTTGTTAACAGACTGTCCCTTTCCTCTGTAACGGATAACAACTTTGCCTGTAGATCGTTGTATGTTAATACACCGGTATATTCAGATTTTGGTTTTAGCTTTTGTTCAAGTTCTTCTAACCGAGTCGCGAGCGAATTTATGTAAATCGAATTTTTTTTTACAACCAGGACAGAACTGTGGTTTCTCAAATTCGCTCGGAGCACTGTCGTTGAGATAAGTGTCTTCGTATGCATCTATATTTGACTCCAAATCTTTGTCTTGGGTCTGTTTACCAGCAGCATCACATGCTTCGCTTTCGACTTCGTCTTCGAAGTTGCCATAATTTACATGGTTGGCTAGCGCAGTTGTTTCGGCACTAGAATCTTCAGATAAAGTAGCATAGCTTAGAATATTTTTCTTCACTACATCCTTCATTGCACCTTGTACGTTTACTGTCTTCGTAGTCTGGTAGAATGAAATCGTGACCGTATCACATTTCAACACATGAAAGCCGCCGTTATTCTTTGTAAACGAACACTCGCCTGATAACTTAAGTTGGCATTCTAAGAACAATTTTAGTTCAGGCAGATCGCTGAGCCATTTAATTTTAATCCCACTACGTCCCTTCTCAATTGAGAGGGGAATTTGTGATGTGGGAAGCTTTGAAGAAGAAGCTAGAAGGTCATCGTTTACAGAGCACTCAACAGCATGACCGTCCTCCATCTTGGATAGATAGATAGATAGATAGATAGATAGATAGATAGATAGATAGATAGATAGATAGATAGATAGATAGATAGATAGATAGATAGATAGATAGATATAGATTGATTAGTGATTGCGAGATTGTTTTAATTGATAAAACTGACCCAGCGGAACCGACCAGACGTGAGGCATTTTCGATAAGCAAACTTAAGACAATGCATCCTTCGAGACTGAACATAGAGAATGCGTAGCAATGTTAATTATAGTTAATAAGATATTGTTATTTGTATGGTAAATCACTTGTATTGATATTATGCATAATTAGCAAAATTGGGAGGGTATAAATTGGGTTCGTTTGTAAAGAAGGATTATATTCAATGAAGACAATAAAGTCGAAACGTAATTTAAAACAATGACTAGACCTATCATGATTTACTATAAAATCTTGCTGCTATCCCCGTTTACCGTTGATACCACATCAAATCTTTTCGTTAATCGTTTGAAATGTTCTTATATGGTATTATAAAATGTTTATGCTTCAAAAGTCATGGCGATATACTCGCATTTCTTTACTATGGCCAATTTGAACATTGTGCAGCGACCCTGTGTTCCGCGTTGAAGGTCGCCATACTATAATAATCTCACTGCGAAAAGAGTCGAATATTCCGAGCTCTATATACCCTGGAATACGTTTAGGAATATCATTAATATTCGGGGATATTCCGCGATATTCCGTCGGAATATTGGCAATATTTGGGTCGGAATACGTCGGAATAAAACGCACCAGATATTCTGTGTCTGAATATTATCAAAATATCTTTGGTATAAAAATATTTAACGGAATGCAAAAGAATAAGCGATTTTAGTAATTTGATACGTAGAGAAAAGAAATTAACATGGTTTACGGACTGCGGGACTAAAAAATGTTCTTACATAGTATGGGTAATGTATTCTTCTCGAGCTAATTATCTTGATACACTTTAAATATCCATCAAATACCATAGTGAAACAAAACATTTTTACACAAGCCGATTATGCAGGTACCCCTACATTCCTTTTATATGGAAAACCTCATATCTGATGGGAGTATTGTTCAAATTTGCAAAAATGAAGAAGTAGATGCTCTCCTTTGGGGACGGTTCTGTAAGTAAGTATTGTGTTTGAAAAAGGATACAACATTTTCAGGGCCGTCAGAAGACTGTTGATTTTGCGGGGAGAGGGTGGGGGGGGGTTGTCAAACCCCTTGAAGGCCTGATAGGGGGATCTTGGAAAATATTTGATTTTCGGCAAGTTTTATAGTAAACTATTTATGATCGTAATAAACACCATGAATTTTGATTTATTTTCAGCCAGTATAATTGTATAGACTCTATGCATAATGTCTTGTTTGTATTTGGGACCTGGGGACAAGCATCTCGAAAATGATGCTGTAACGTCAATTTTGACGTCGAATTTTGTTTTTGTACATATTTCAAAGTCAACACAACAAGGGAAAGCAAAGTCAACTTAGTAAGGTATATGTTTCGAAATGAGCGCTATCGACATTGGACCAGCCGACCTCGTTTTCATACGGCAGAAAAACCGTTATGCATTGTGGGTATACCATATTATTTAATTCCTTTGAGAACTGATGTATCATTGAAGTTTTTCGAGATGTATTGTCTTTAAAGTAAACTATTTAATTAAGAGCAGCTTTCATTGAATAACCGGTTGGAGGGCTCAATCCTCAGCTTCCAAAAGTTAGCCACTCCCCCCTGCATATTTGCTACCGCCATGTACCTTTTGCAAAAGGCAAAATTGTTACAAACCTTGCATTTGGTAAAATTCGAGGAATTAGAGTTTTGCTCTTTCAGCAAATCAGGGTAGATGCGGTCGTGTTCGAACCCATGCCCAAATGAAACGTAGAATCCACACACTTTTTTTATTAAAGTAGTCATTTACATTGTACTGAGTTCTTGACAACATATGTATATCTTACATTTATGGAGACAAATATAAAGTAGATGGAACTCATGGAAGTGGAGAGTATGTTTAGATAACACAATGCATATGACTCACGTTTTAGGGACTGTTACTATTTTTAGATTTTTAGAACTAGGACTAGTGTTAGCATTAGTGTAGGATTAAAGTTAATACTTGGTTATAGTTTGGAATTAGGATTAAGATTAGGGTCAGGATTGGGATTAAGCATAGGATTTTTATCTTTTAGTATTATAATGCAATTAAGATCTAAAAATAGAAACAACACCTTAAACGTGACAGGTATAAACACAACACATAAGCTCAGTCACCATCCGTGCATCGCGATTTTACTGTGTGAGTTTTCGTCTGAATATGGATGGTAAATGACATCGTCGCGCAAAGGCTATAGTGATTTTATTGGAATACAGTAAAAAAGTCACCATCGTGAAACATTCAAAACGCTATCGCTCGAAATCATTATTCCACCTCTACTTTTGAACTCACTTTCGCAACGGCAATTCAACATGTGCACTGACATGACATGTGCACTGACAATCTACATTATGCGATGGTAAATCTGCGTGCACTCAGACGAAGACATCAGGACACAAGCCAGATGGCCCCACTGCAAATTTAGTTAAAGTTTAAATTACTGTAAGAAATAAACGTGCTTTTATTTCATGAAACGCGCCATAGATAATTATTTTAAAATCTACATTATGCAATGGTAAATCTGTGCGCATTCGGACGAGGACATAAGGACATGAGCCAGATTGTCCCACTGCAAATTTAGTTAAAGTTTGAATTTTAATTACTGTAAGAAGGAAAGGTGCTTTTATTTCACGAAACGCACATACATAATTAATTTAAAATCTACATTATGCAATGGTAAATATGTGTGCATTCAGACGAGCACATCAGGACACGAGCCAGATTGTACCACTGCAAATTTAGATAAAGTTTGAATTACTGTAAGAAGGAAAGGTGCTTTTATTTCATGAAACGCATATACATAATAAATTATTTTAAAATCTACATTATGCAATGGTAAAACTGTGTGCATTCAGACGAAGAAATCAGGACACGAGCCAGACTGTCCCACTGCAGATTTAGTTAAAGTTTGAATTACTGTAAGAAGGAAAGTTGCTTTTATTCCATGAAACGCACCATACACAATTATTTTAAAATCTACATTATGCAATAGTAAATCTGTGCGCATTCAGACGAGGACATGACACGAGCCAGATTGTCCCACTGCAAATTTAGTTAAAGTTTGAATTACTGTAAGAAGGAAAGGTGCTTTTATTTAATGAAACGCACCATACATAATTATTTTAAAATCTACATTATGCAATGGTAAATCTGTGCGCATTCGGACGAGGACATAAGGACATGAGCCAGATTGTGCCACTGCAAATTTAGTTAAAGTTTGAATTACTGTAAGAAGGAAAGGTGCTTTTATTTAATGAAACGCACCATACATAATTATTTTAAAATCTACATTATGCAATGGTAAATCTGTGCGCATTCGGACGAGGACATAAGGACATGAGCCAGATTGTGCCACTGCAAATTTAGTTAAAGTTTGAATTACTGTAAGAAGGAAAGGTGCTTTTATTTAATGAAACGCACCATACATAATTATTTTAAAATCTACATTATGCAATGGTAAATCTGTGCGCATTCGGACGAGGACATAAGGACATGAGCCAGATTGTGCCACTGCAAATTTAGTTAAAGTTTGAATTACTGTAAGAAGGAAAGGTGCTTTTATTTAATGAAACGCACCATACATAATTATTTTAAAATCTACATTATGCAATGGTAAATCTGTGCGCATTCGGACGAGGACATAAGGACATGAGCCAGATTGTGCCACTGCAAATTTAGTTAAAGTTTGAATTACTGTAAGAAGGAAAGGTGCTTTTATTTAATGAAACGCACCATACATAATTATTTTAAAATCTACATTATGCAATGGTAAATCTGTGCGCATTCGGACGAGGACATAAGGACATGAGCCAGATTGTGCCACTGCAAATTTAGTTAAAGTTTGAATTACTGTAAGAAGGAAAGGTGCTTTTATTTAATGAAACGCACCATACATAATTATTTTAAAATCTACATTATGCAATGGTAAATCTGTGTGCATTCAGACGAGGACGTCAGGACACGAGCCAGATTGTGCCTCTGCAAATTTAGTTAAAGTTTGAATTACTGTAAGAAGGAAAGGTGCTTTTATTTAATGAAACGCACCATACATAATTATTTGAAAATCTACATTATGCAATGGTAAATCTGTGTGCATTCAGACGAGGATATCAGGACACGAGCCAGATTGTGCCTCTGCAAGTTTAGTTAAAGTTTGAATTACTGTAAGAAGGAAAGGTGCTTTTATTTCATGACACGCACCATAAATAATTATTTTAAAATCTACATTATGCAATGGTAAATCTGTGTACATTCAGACGAAGACATCAGGACACGAGCCAGGTTGTGCCTCTGCAAATTTAGTTAACGTGTGAATCACTGTAAGAAGGAAAGGTGCTTTTATTTCATGAAACGTACAATACATAATTACACTGACCTGAAAGGTCAAGTGTCTTAAATCCCTAGTTTTCTGTTTTCTTCTGTTTTTTTCGTCGTCGAGAAATCGAGTTTGCGTTCGCGCATCGCAGGCTCAGGATGCAACGATTAATCCAAAATGCCATCGATTCTTCGACTCCACGATTCATGTATAATAGTAAGAAGCTTGTATTTATGTGCGTAATAGCCGGCTCATATCATGCTTGTGGTGCATTTTTCGTTTACTGTATAGACTTATATGGACTTATACGCACATTGATCAAATCTACACACTTGAGTAGAAGATATCAAATCGAATTTGATCAATACCATTGATCAAATCAAATACCATTGATCAAATCCACCATATAATATATGATTACTCATTGTAGCTGTTAAGTTATTTCCATACCAATGAATTTAGGTAAGATTGTCTTGCAAGTTGGTTTTTCTGACAAAATTATCCAGCCAATATCCAGTACATTTATTCT